ATTTGATTCCCAGTTTTAACAGGCCCCTGCTAACAGGAAAGGTTTTGGTGCTTTATATTGTTTGAATGGCCTTTAAAAAATAGAAAAATTACTTGCACCATAAGGAACTTGTGAAATTTGCTAATATTTAGCACACTTTTCAGTGTATGCATTTCAGTGTTAACAATCCATGCATGACTCCTGTGCATGAGCAGTGTCACTTGTCTAAAGGAACTCTTAATCTATATCTTTGTGCAGGAGGGTAGAGTGTGTCCTGGGTGCTCTATTGCCTTTGTATACAGCTATTTTGTAGTTATTCCTTAAGTAATTGCAGTATAGAGGTACAGGATTCATGGCTGAGGAATCCAAAACTATGCACTGCAGGGACAGAGAACAGAAGAACTGCATCTGTCCCAAAGCTATCACATCTTTTTCTTTATGAAAAAAGTCAGAATAAGGTTCTGTTCCTTCCAAAAAGCATATATGCCTAACACAATATTGTGAATAGTCCAACAAAGCCAATAAAGCCAGTAACCATGAAAAAATTGGAACATATGAATGCACTTTTGCAAGTTTGAGGAATGAGGAAAAGCAAATGTATCCCCCTGGGTTTCAGCAATCAGATAGCATACATATTAATAACGTGCAATACTCAGCGCAGTGCATGGAAAGCCATAAAAACATGAACCATTGGAGACAGGTTCCTATATACAGAATTCCCTTTCTCTCAGAGGTATATCCATTGCTATCTACACACAAATCAACCATAACAATAAGAATTTGTTTGGCACAAGCTTCCAGCAACTAATGAATAACACAGACCAAAAATGCTTCTCTTGCCTTTTGTTAACTCTTGAATGTCGTTTGTCACTGGAGACATCCACACCAGAAACATACCCTAGGGCTAAAGTGGGAGGGTAGCTAGAGCTAACCCATCTTTGTCTACAGAAACCTTCTAGCCACATAAATGTGTTTTACAGATGTCCAGTGGTAATTTAGTCAGCCCAGAAGAACACACTTAATAGCACAAAGAGGGGTGCTGGGTTTAATGCACAGCCAGGGAGCTCCTTGTCACCACCACCTGCAGCTAGAACAGACACTGATGAACATTTTACAGCCAAGCAGCCTAATCTGCTCTTGCTGGCAAGACGGTGCCAGCTTTCCATGGAGTCAGGCACTGGCCAGCACCAAGGTATAGGTGATCCAGCCTTTGGTCCCAGATTGAGTGCTGCTGATGGAGCTATGGCTCCTTGTGTTCCACTCTAAATAGAGCCTAGAACTATCATGCTCCAAGTAAAGAATATAACAAGTTTCAAATGTCACTCCAGCAGGAAGTAGGGTAAATGAATCATCTTGCCCTGCATTACTGTCTCACAATGCAGCTCTAGTTGACAGACAAGTTTGAGCCTTGCTCTTCTTCCACCGCAGGCATTTGTGTCCTGCCAGAATCCGGCACTCAGCTTGGAAAAGGAAATTACTAGTCCTTTCCTGAAAGTCAATTGCTGCTGGTTCAATCCCAGATAAATTGGAGAAGGCCTGCCAAGAGGCCATGAGTACATCCAAGGCCAAGTTTCTACAGGTGTCCATGCAGTTACCATTGACTTTGAGTTGCCACACTGCATAGTCAAGGAATACACGCACTGGCTAGAGGGAGTAAAAAAGCAGCAATAAGGAAGCTATTAAGTTCATGTCCATTTCCTAAAAACATAAAGTGCAATTTGTGAAAACATCCTTGATACCGGTTAGAGCAAAAGAGGTATTTCAGATGCATGTTTAGAAGTTGGATGAGTGTCTTAACTTCCTTCCCTCCAGGTTCTGGAGTGATTTACAACATCCTTCTAGTAAAGGATCCAGGGTCATTTGGAGGGAGGAAAAAAGACATATTGGAAGATTAAAGAAATCACTGAGCTTGCCAAAGCTAATAGACTCAAAGCTCAGCTGCCCCTCACTGGAAGGAGAAATCAGACTTCTGGTTAGCAGGAGAGTTGGTGCCAGTTTGTGCAGCCCTTTATGACAGCAACAGCAAAGAGGCACCAGGTTGTACTTGTTGGAGGAATTGACTTACAAACCCACCCTTCACCAGCTGAGCCAAAGTCCAGGGGCCTCTGCAGGAAGGAGATAATAAAAAACAATGATTTAGAAAGGAAAAAGGAACAGTTCAATGGGCAAACCTTGCTCTTGGCAGGCATGACCTTGCTCTTGCCCACAGAGAGGTCTGCATTGTCCCCAGTGGGGCAGGTCCCTTGCTCAGGGTCCCAGGGTGACACACCAACAACGGTAACCTCAACAGCTGCAGCATTGGCAACTCATATTTCCTCTGCCCATGCCTATTCAAAGCATCGCTGAGTGAAGTTTTCCATCCTTAGGTTCTCTTGCATTGTCGCTGAATAATACGCTTATAATTATTAGCTGTAATTTAGCCTAAAAACTTTTTCTGCATCCTTAGTCTAATGCTCTGCACTTTTGTCTCAGCATTAATCATTCCATTATCAACCTGTGCAGCAATTAGACTGGAGATTTCCAGGGTCTTGGATTTGTCTTGGTAAACTGTATTTGCAATAAAGCTTTCCTTCTATTTTCCATGGTAATAACATTAAGTTTAATTTTAAACAATATGGCTTTTAATGTAGCACATGCTTCTTTTTGATACAAAGGTGATACAAGTAATGCACCCTTGGTCATTGCTAGTCTTTCACAGTAACAAGGCACTTAGGATCAACAGTTTTCCTTAAAAAACAAAATTAAAAACTGAATGAACAAAACACGTAAGGGATTTTTTTATTTAGCTTTTTGGATATAGAGACTTAAAGGAGCAATCCCAGGCACAGCTACATGTTGGGAAGAGAAGAGATTCAGAGCAGCCCTGCGGAGAAGGACTTGGGGGTGTTGGTTGATGGGAAAATGAACATGAGCCGGCTTCAGTGTGCACTTGCAGCCCAGAAAGCCAGCCATATCCTGGGCTGCATCAAAAGGAGTGTGACCAGCAGGTCGAAGGAGGCGATCCTGCCCCTCTACGCTGCTCTTATGAGACCTCACATGGAGTATTGTGTGCAGTTCTGGTGTCCTCAACATAAAGAGGACATAGAACTGTTGGAACAAGTGCAGAGGAGGGCCACAAGAATGATCAGGGGACTGGAGCACCTCCCGTATGAAGATCAGCTGAGAAAGTTGGGCTGTTCAGCCTGGAGAAGAGAAGGCTGCGTGGAGACCTCATAGCAGCCTTCCAGTATCTGAAGGGGGCCTATAGGGATGCTGGGGATGGACTCTTCATTAGGGACTGTAGTGACAGGACAAGGGGTAAAGGGTTAAAACTTAAACAAGGGAAGTTTAGATTGGATATAAGGAGGAAATTCTTTCCTGTTAGGGTGGTAAGGCACTGGAATGGGTTGCCCAAGGAGGTTGTGAATGCTCCATCCCTGGCAGTGCTCAAGGCCAGGTTGACGAAGCTTTGGGTGGCATGGTTTAGTGTGAGGTGTCCCTGCTCATGGCCAGGGGGGCTGGAACTAGATGATCTTAAGGTCCTTTCTAACCCTAACTGTTCTGTGATTCTATGATTCTATGTTTAAACCCAAGATGAAGCTAACCATGAAGACTGAAAATTGTATATCGAAAAAGAGAAGCTGAGGTTTTTAGGCAAACACGAACACTAAAAATCTTGAAGCTATGGGCAGGACAGCAATAAAGTGTCACGTTAACAACACTGTTCTGATAACACTGCAGGAATCATTAGTTGATAACAGAATTTATTTCAACCCTGTCTGAAAAGGTTCAATGACAGAATACCCATAGCTATTCATTTCTAAAAGAGCTGCAGGAGTTTCTCCAAGAAACTTGTGTACAAGTGAGTTTCCCCTGAATAGCTGGTATCGGGCTAAAATAAATTGTACTGTGCATGGAACAGGCATATGAGGCAGAGGTGAATAAGGGTATTTGAACAATCAGATGGTTTCTGTCCTGATGCATCTCTCAATTAGCTGCAGATCCCAACGCACTGCAGTCAGTATACATAGGTGATGGAAAGCTCTAGCAGTCTTGCAGGAAACTGATGTATTGCTTACTGGATGATACCATGAAAGCACCACTGAGACACAGTATTCTAATATTTGTTTGACTATCTATCTTTCATCAAAGTTGGTGTTTATGCTGCTGCTAATCCTGTTAGAATATTGTATTTGGAAGAGTGTGGGATTCTGACAGTGAAAGATCTATACTGTGAGATGTCAGCTCCTGAAATGACTCTGTGAGAATGTACTGATGCTGATGAGACATTGCTCAAGAAAGGTTTCTCAGCTCCTGGCCAGTAATCCTCAGCAAAGGCCCTACTCTGTGGTAAGAGACTCACAGGGGTTAAGGAATTGCCTACTTGGGCAGCTTGTCAGGAACACAGGAGAATAAAGTTCAAGAGTCTGAACCATTATTCACAGCAAACTGCACCTCCCAAAGCCCACGCAACTGGCCTTGCCCTCTATCTCTCTATTGTTCCTGAATATGCTTCTTTCAGTTTTTTTTCTGTAGATCATTTTGGAAGGCCTTGTGTTGATGCAGAACTGGAAAATCTCTGAAATTTAGAAAATCTTTGGGGACAGGAAGCCTGTTTCTCTCCTAGCTCTTCATACTAGTTTGTTTTTCCTGAAGCTGGTGATTCAACAGGAATTGGAGATTTTAGGGGAAAGACTGTGATAAACATCATTACTGAATCCTTCAATCAATACCAGTGTCTCAGTTAAGTCAAAGTACCAGAGCTATTGCTCTTCTGTTCTCAGCTGCATGGTTACCCACCATTGACATCAACGTACTTTGTCTTCTAGTTTAGTCTGCCTAAAGGAATGACCCAAAATTGCTTTGAAGATGCTGCTTGTTCCCTTCATTCCTCTCACTAAGAAGGGACCTGTCACTGCACATTTACAGCCCCTGCCTTGGTACACTTTCAGTAGCTAACAGTTTGGCTCCAAGACCCAACGAGCCTCCTCCTGTCTCTTGGCAACAACAGCTACAAACATTTCAGACATGCCTGGCTTCTTCTCTGTGAAGCAGGGCATGACCAGACGTTGCAGCCATAGAAAAAGACAGGCGTGGAGGAGGCAGGAGAGGGCTTGTTGCACATAAACAGAGAGGAAAAAGAAACCACCTCTGTAATTCACTAAAAATCTCATTGGAAGACTATGTTCAGGTTCAGATGATTTCTCTTGGCACAAAATCATCATCAGACCCTGTCATTTCTTACCAGCTGAAGAGATCGTGGAAGGATAAAGTGTAATGGAGAAGTGCAATCAGATGTGGCAGCATTGCCATCTTTCACTTGAGTTTTCCTCTTGAAGTTCAACAATAAAATAACAGTGTTTACAAGAAATGTACCTTTACAGCTGAGGCATCTGCAGGTATGTGATGTCTAGGTCTGTAAAGGCATCTTGGGCTTGTGGATTTCAATGGGAGCTGAAGCAGTACAGAGCCTCCTCCATGGTTTTACCTCGGCTTTAATAAAAGGCCATGGTTGCTTTAGAAAGCTCAGCCCTACAACTAAGGAAATAGACTCACTTTGTTGATTGTTTTATCCTCAGCAAGATGCTCTCAAGTGGATTCTGAGCTCTAGAAGGGTTTATCCATTTTCAGAGGATGTTTCAGCTCAAGTCTTTGACTTCATTCATGCTTCATCGGCATGTGAAATTGCAGCTCTTGCAGACAAGATTTATTGAGCTTTCCACTAGCTCACTCCCACATGGAGAGCACTGTCTCAGTAACAAAGCAGGTTATTACCTTAGACACTAAAACCATGCACTTTCACCATCTAAATCTGGTGCTTCATTGTCATTTGGGCACTATTTCAGGATGGTATTATGGCTCCATGCCGTTGTATTGGCTCCAGCTCAGCTTCTATCCCCAACTCTTAGGTCTGCTGAGATTTACTCCAGCATGGCTTTCTGGCCAGCAGCATCTAATCAACCTCAATGGTACACTACCTCCTTCCACTTCTCTCACCCTGTGCCTGTTTCCAACTTCCCCACTATGGCAAAATCATACGCTTTGTGCCTTCACAAGGAAAAATTTATGTGGTGGGTAAAAACCAGGCTCAGTTGAGACCAGAGCTGCCTGGTGTCTAACCAGAGCACCCATGGCTACATCTATCCATGCAGCACTTCATCGCAAGGGCCAATCCAAGCAATTTATGACTAGTACTGATGATGGATAGATGCCTGCTTTGCACAGCTCTCCTTACGCACGGGCACAAATTCTCCCTTATTCTGCAAGTTTTTATTTCTGGAAATGCCACGAGAGTGGTTTTTCCCCACAATACAAGGCCCAGAGCTTCTCCTCTAGAAGCCACAAAAACTTCCTCAGTAACTCCCTGTGTCCCTACATCAATTTTATTGCATTCCTTCTGGCATGGGGAAGGAATGAAAACGGGCGATGGTAAGATAGCAGCATGTTTTCTCTTCGCTGTTTTTGCTGACTCAGAAGTTTGAGAAGAACAACAAGCAGCAGCAGACAGCATAGCCTAACCTTATCATGCTGGAATCCAATTGTATGGCTTGCACAGAGCCTTTCCAAGGAAAGCTATCACTCTTACTGTTTACATTGCATCACAGAAAACAGCTGGAAAAGCTGTAAACCCCTTTATTTTGCTAGCTGTATAGAAAGTTGTTCCACTCAAGAACATTACACAACAGTGGCACAGACTTTCTTTTTTGAAGCTTCCAAAAATAAAGACAGGGGAACAAAAACCCAAACCTCTTTTTTTGTTGAGGCTGCTGCAAAGGTTCAGACTTGTTTGAAAAAAAAGAAAGAAATGCTGATGACTGCCAACATTAATTGCCAAAAATGTGCTTTCAGTTATTAAAGTCCTAATGAGGTAAGTAGGGGAAAGGACAGTTTCTTATTTCTTGCTCATGACAAAAAGAGGGAGAGAAAGAAAAGCAATAAACAGACTAGCTGGTGCTCTGGGGTGCAGATATTGTAATGACCTACTGGTCAAAGCTTTAGAGACACCAGTGTTGCAGGTCAAGCTTTGCCATTTTTTGGCTAAGGAAATAAATGTACTTGCTACTAACAGTAGCAAGATATTACCTGATCTCCAAAGAGAGCACAGCACATGCACAAATGCTTTCCTGAGGCCACTGAACGCCTCCCCATGTGTTAGGAGAGCCTGGAGCATGGAGGGAGGAAAGCAATGAAAAGGTAGGTGAGGGACAGCCACGTTTTCTCATTTCCTGGCCACAACCAATTCCCAACAGCTCCAATGAAATATGTTACCTCCTCTCCTGTGTGACTAACACAGCCACAGCTCAAATCAAAAGGTACCTGGATTACATAGTAAATCCTGAATCTTTATACAGTCAAGGAATTCCCCTGGGGAAATAGGATGGAACCTTCCCCGTAACATTTACAGTACTTGTGTAACATCTCAGGACCACAGGGGGAAACTCTGCTGATGGTTTTTGTTTGGAAATGGCATTGTTTTGGACTTCTTGTTGATTTTTAGGAGTCCACAGAGGATGAGGGGTTTTGGAGAGGTGGGAGCAGCAATGGCTCTAGAGAAGTAGAGATTAGAAGGTAGAAAGTAGCGGGAGTACAGATGTTGTTAGAAGTCACAATAGATGGAAAATGCTTCAAGAAATTGTGCCTTAACTCAAACAGCACAGAGACTGTTCTGGCCTTACTAGCTGTTGCAGGTTAGTACACTCCAAATTTATGACCTTCTGTTTGCTTGGTTTTTTTTGCCCCTGAGCAGCCCAACCAGTGGGCACATGCATCTGCTGAGCCAGGAGGCAAGGAGAGCCCTTGCTACAGACCCACCCAGCTTTCACCAGCACATCAACACTTCAAGCAGCTTTTTGAGTGGCAGATTATTGGCTCTGGTTATGCCTGGAGAGAGAAAAGCCAAGTTATAGCCTCCTCAACCTATGCAATATAACCATCCACTTCCCCGCTTCACCAGGCTGCACTTTGTCCATGTCCAGTAAACAGCAGCCTAGCATTTTGTATTAAAGCCATTCCTAGAATTAGGAACTAAAACTGACCCAGGCTATTTAAACATCTTGTTACAATTACTCAAATATATGCTTTTAAAAGCAGAGTTTACCAAAGTGGCTTCAGATTTTGTTACTTATTCCTAGTTTTGTTTTGGCATTCACTAGCATTCATGGGGGTACGTGTGTGTCTGAGCTCACGTGCTGATCTTTGCTTGGGGATTTGTCCCCATAAAACAGGGCAGAAGGACCAATTTGCCATATGTTTTTTGTAGCAGGCAAGATTAAGAACTGCTAACAACAGAGCAGCCTCTGGAATCAGTGCAGGATCGAGCCCAACAGCACCTGGAAGCAGATCCATAATGGGAACAAAAGGAGAAGATGGGCAGCAGTTTTGGCCTCTCAGGCACCACTTGGCCTCTTGCATTGCTGCCCATAGGGAATACCGGGGAAGGGACAGAGGAAATGCTGACAAGAGAAAAAGCAGCTAGACATAAATGAATCCTGGAATCATCTCAAGTCCCATAGCGTTCATAATTACCTATCATTTTACTGATCTAAACATTCAGTCCTCTAAAAGACCCTAATCCATTACCTGCCATGTACTGCCCTTTGTAATTTCCTTGTGCTGCAATGCTCTGCTAAGCTTTGATGTTCTGGCAAGACCAGGGAGGCTCTGAAATCTGGAATTAGCAAACCTCCGCAGGCATGATGCAAGGCTCTCCAGCATTAGCATATGTTCCAGCATCTGAATCTAATAATGGCATGCCAAAATCTGCACAAGGCAGCAAGGTGATTCCTCCTCGCTCTTTCAGGTGGCAACGCCTGGGCCAGGGGAGCTCTTTGAAGCCAGGACAAGCTGGAAACACGTCATATCATCTACAGATGCTCTGCCACAGGGAGGTTATACACCCTGATGTACACGTGCTTCTGTCCTAGGGACACTCAGCTTGGTTAATACAGAAATTCATTCTGGAGACCAAGACATCAACCCTTGTGCGACACTGCCCCAGAGAGTCACCACTGGGTACGTGTCTGCATGCCTTTTTTTTTCCCCTTAAAACCCACACAAGCTATTCATGGGAAAAAGATGTCCACAACACTTCCAAACCATGGCTTATGTGCCCCAGTCCAGAGCTGAGCAGCAGCACTTGCAGCATGATGAACTTTAAACTAGATGAGCTTAAGGTTCTTTCGAACCCTAATTATTCTACAATTCAGCTACATCCCTCAATGTGTTTGCAGCCCTGTGTGTTGATTCCTAGGTGCACCTGCAGTAATTACAGCAGGAATAGAATTCCTTTTGCATAAATCTGGTTTGAACAGCAGTATCAAACACATGAAAAAACACGAGTCACAAATCCTGTCCACAAAGAGTTCACCATCCCTTGCATTGAAGGAAAAACCTTGAGATCCACAGTACTAATCGTAAATGCAAGTATTTCTCACTGAGCAGGGAAGGTGCCTTTGCTAAGCTCAGGGCTGACACTAAATATATGTTGCCATAGACCTGGGTAATGTCTGTTTATAAAGTTCAAATGGACGGGCGTAAGCAGCTCTCCCATTCTGGGATAAACAGCTGCAAACAAAGCACAAGAAAAAGCAGTTTTGTTTTGTTTTGGACTAATTTGTATTTGCTGAGAGCACAGGGTTTGCTCGTGTTGTTGCAGCTGTAAATTTCAAGGTGGCTGCAAGGTAAAAACTGAAACTGTACAAGCAATTAGCCCACGGTAATGTCTAATCACTGCTGGCATCCAAAAAATCGTGCAACAGCAGGGATGCTTAACTTTGAAAACCAACTACTGCACAGATGCAGGAACTGTGTTTGTTAAGGAAGTTTTCCTTGGCATATCGATGTGAACTTTAAAAGTTGGCTCAAATCACAGTGACATAAAGACCACAGAACTATAGAAAGGAGCACTGCGGCTCATCACATCGTACATTTGAGTATAGGAAACTTACTTACACAAATCAAATGGTTTCTAAGGGCCAGTCTCCACCAGACCAGTTAGAAAGTAATTATTTTCAGCTGCCCTCAGTATGCTTCAAGTTCATGCTCTTCTTAGCCATGAAGATTGCAAGTGTGATCCTGCATCCTTTGCACAGAGGATATGATTAAGCAGCTGCCACCCCAGCACTAAAAGGTCACAGTTTAGCCCAATCCAGCAATCTGTGCTGAACCAAGCAGCACGCAAGATCCTTGAGGGGGTGTGGGTGCCAAAACCTACAGTGAGAAGCTGAAATGTATTAAAAATAACCATAAAAGCATGTCTGCAGTCAAGGCTTAGCTTGCTGGGGAGGTGCTGGGAGACCCCTAACCAGGGGGCTGGAGCCTTTCCTGGCTGCCCAGCTCTGACCCACTGGACAGGGCAAAGCAGTGATTTATTTTCATGCTTTCGGTGCTTTGCAACTGAAGTGTAATCTCCTATGGAGCAGTGGGGGTGGTGTTGACCTCACCACATGAAAGAGCAATCCCTGATGTATGAGGATGCTGCTATTGTTTCTTCTTGCAAAATTATGGTTGTGGTATATTGCTGTCTCCAGAAAGGCATCTCTTGGAGGGATGTGTTCTGGAATCCAGAGGTACAGCACTTGATTCCACATTTCCCAAAATTAACTTTTAGCTGAACTGCTGGAAAATGTTGGAAGCAGACAGGATTTTCTAATTACAAATCCAGAAAATCATATATTTTATTATTCAAGGGATGCATAGCATGCAAGCACACATGTGGAGCACAAGGTCAATCTGCGTCACCATGGCCGTGGCAGAAGAACCAACTTTAAGACGAGGGACCTGCCAGCCCTTTCTACTTCTAATCCAAGCTAGTGCCAGAATTGATCTGTGTCTGAGCACATCACTCTGCATAGCATGACAAATCCATTCTGGCCTCCCCCCTTCCCTTGTTTAAAAACCATTCCTATATTGATTTGAATCAGTGTAGGCTAATGAAATCAGTGGGGGCATTACAACATCTGCTTGCACCAACTGCTAGACCTGTATTTTCAGATGAAGCAAGAAAAGAATGGCCCAGACAAAGCCAGCTAAAATTGTATCAGGAAATAGAGGACCAGCTAAATGCAGTCTGCAAACCTCCTGCTTACTGCTTACCCCTGAGCAGTGCCAGTAGAAAGTCACTGCAATGCACATCCAGGAGCAGTGAGAACAGCACCCTTGGTCTGAGAGTATGAAAGCGAACCATCTGCATACAGCAAGGAGAACCATCACACAGCCATACTGACAGCAGGGAAACAACCTGTACAGTTCAGTCCTTGCTTCTTTACTCTTCCCCCTCATGAGTGACCCTGCAGGTGCACAGAGAGTCTCACACCTACCTGCAAAACACCCACAAAGGGAGGACTAGAGGACAGGCCCTCTGCAGCCCACACCACCTCCAGGAAGCCTCATCAGCCAGCAAGCAAACAAGACTGAATCATCAGTGCTTTTAATGGGCTTCATGCTGCCAGCTCATACTCCTAATGCTCCACCACAGGTGGATGAGCTCCACTCAGGCTGCTCCCTGCAATAATGCTCATTAAGTGCTGGAGCACATCCTCTGGGCAGGTGAAAATTCTCAGTAACAGGGTTTAGTTTGGACTGGTGTCTATAGGGAGTATTCCAGGCACAGCTGGTCTTTCATAGTAGATGAACAAGGCAACATCTCAGTGTCACTCTATGATCCTGAGGAGGATGAGTCTCCAAATGTGCCTTTGGAGCTCTTCCAGCTCCATCAGACACAAGAGACGTACAGGGGCAAATTGCTGCCCCATCCCTTCTGCACCAAGTGAGCAGTGTTAGCTGCATGCACTCTTCCCAGCCCCTGCAGCAGAGGCAGGTAGATACTGGTTTGCAAATCCACTCATGCACCCAATGCACATCCCAAGGGAAAAGTGTGATCCCGTGTAAGATGTTCACAGGTGGGAACTGGTCAGAGGCTGGGACCTGAGCTGCTCTCAGAGCAAGCAAGCGGTCAAGCAAATGGATGGGTGAGGTCCATCCACAGTCCTTAGCAGTCTGGGGAAAACAAGAAGTACCTTGGTTGTCACAGATTGCTTCCTCACAATCAGTATGGGTGATTTCTTGGGCTTATTACAAAATTTAATTAAAATAGTTTGGAAAAAAAAATTTATAGCTCTTTTTCCCCTGTCTTTTAGGTTTGTTTTTTTTGCTCAGTCTTTTTAAAATAACATATTTTTGTCTTTTCCCATCAACTATCATAACTTTTTATGACACAGTAAAGCTGAAAGTGGGCTTTGACCTATGTCTGTTATGCTTTTGTTAGTAAAATAAAACTGGAAAAGCATCTTGCAAAAAACTGCATAAAGGGCCACTATCGATATAGCATTAACTGTCTTTAGTCCACAGCTGGGTGCTTTTTCAAGGCCGTAGAAAGGAGATGCAGACTTTAGGACTTTTAACATAATCCTCCGACATCACACAAATCACAGATGAAAAAGCCAGCTCTTACAAACAGCACCCTGAAAATGTCCATAGGTAACTGGTGATTCTACAAATCTGGTGGGGTTTTGCTGAGTGAGTCAAATATGCAGCATCAGGGTTGGCTGAGCATCAGTATTATGTTCCAGTTTACCTCTGCTGTCATATATTTAATCTCCAGTAATTAAACTTCTAAATGAATCCATTTCACAAAAGCCCCAGTGCATGGAGTGAATCAGTGAGTAAATGTTCATAACCTCAGAACCAATCCTGGATCGGGGTGAAGCTGCTCCGTGCAGCAGCCAATGGAGCAGATAGAGATGTAACTGTCGAAGACAAAAGTAGAAGTAAAAATATAAATAACCCCTTTGGCTCAAGGTTTTCAAATTCTTTCCTGTTACTAAAATGATATTTTCCAAAAGCATGTGTCATATTGGTTTGCTGCAGCTCACGAGTACAGTAAAAGAAATTATGAGGAAGCTGATTAGAAACTTCTGATTAGAGGTAAAATATATCACTGGTAACATCTGGGTGCAAACTGAGAGTTCGCAGTGTGGTAGACATGGAGAGAGCAATCTGTCACCTGGATTGCTTACTTTAGCGAGATAAAATGAGTTTTACCATGGCTATATTTAGCACAGATGGCTAAGAGCAAGGGGTGGGATGTCATGCACCTCCAGAGGGATGCTATGGCAAAAAGGGTCCCAAGAAGCATGTGCAGGAGGGCACAGTCCTTCCTGGGCATGCAGGAGCAGGGAGGACAGTGCTGCAACACCATGGACTACACTGGTGTTTGACTTCTGAAGGACATAGAAAGGCAGGAGGTGTTTCACTGGAGAGGAGGGCACAGCGACCTCAGTGCTTGCTCAGCACACACAGAGCGTGTTCTTTTGAAGATTAAGAAATGCTTGGGCTACAGGAAAGAAGAAACTTTGGGGAGAAAATAGCAGACACATAAAGGCTATTTGAGAATGAGGGAAGACAGCAAGAATGACTGGGTAGGGACTAAAGCCAGACAAATTCAGATGAGAAATAAGGCATAGTGTTTTCAGAGCAAGGAGGATTAAACTGAAATTAACTACCCAATGAAGTGATGGATCATCTGTCTCCTGGTATCTTTAAATCCAGACTGGATGCCTTCCTGGAAGAAGCTAAATACAGATTTCTTGCTTCACAAAGGGGTGGATGGGTGAGGTTAAACAGCCTGAGGTAGGAGGGAGCTAGTATGGATGATCTAAGGGTCCCCTCTAGCCTTTAAACTCTGAATGTGTGAATTAATGAGACATAATACAACGCAGAATGTCCCCAAATCTATGGGTTGCTGCTGGTTACAGGTTGTTCTGAGTCATCCCATGCCAAAAAAGTACTCCTACTGACATCCATGGCACTGCCTGCAGGAGAAGCTGCTGTGCCACATGGACAACCACAGCTCCATCTTGACATAAATAACCATAAAATGACTCAATTTTCTTCTCTGCAGGAAAAAGAAGAGCTAACACATCACATCGCTCTTCACAACTATGAGCCAAGAGGTCCTCACTTTACACTGCTACACAAAATACACAGAGCAGAACATTAATTTTCAGAGGTTTAAACATACTACTTTTTAAAGAGAAAAGTTTCTTTCCCCTGTCCCTTATAGATCATGGTCTGAACTCACCAGATATCTGCTCCTCCTGCAGACAGCCCTTCCTCCTCCATAGGTGCTAACTGACTTTTGCCCTCTCTATTAAGAAGAAAACTCACCCAACTCAAAACTGGTAGGAACATCCAGTAAAATCAAGCAAAATTTAAACTTCAGTAGGAGAATAATAGAAGAGACTAGGAAAAACCCTAGAAGTCCTACCAGCTTTATAAAGCCCAACTCGTGTATAATCCAAAGGGCTGACCCGTCCCCAGCGAGGCTGGCAGTGTGCCCACAGAGTCAAACCTCCAGGCTGGTTCTGGAGCAGAAAGGGTAATACGTTCACCAGTGATGCAGAACGGCAAACCCGAACATTTACCCTCAAATGTCCAGAAAATCAGCAACACGTGGCAAGAGAGGCCACGTGGTGCTACCCCCTCTATGTTTCACTTCAATTTTTATCCATTCCATGTGTTGCTTTCTTGCCATTTAGAAACTTAGTTCTCATTTGTCATCATTTTCACATTTCACTTCTGGACACTGCTCTCTGTGCATTATCCATCCTTTTTATCTTGCTGTTTGAACTGTGTTCTGCAGCTCTGGTTCAGTTTTACCATTCATTCATCAGCATGAAGTTAAACAATTACTAACCAACTTGGGTAGCTGGCAAGCAGTGAGGAAGCAAGATCCATTTCTGCCCAGAGGGAAGAATGATTTTATACAATAGCGTGGCCTTTGTTTTGCATCTCATGGGTAATGCTATTGATGTGAAGGTTATATCACATTCTGTGCCAAACCACTTGAGCTAGTTTCAGATTGCAGTTCCCCCTTGGCGTATTTCCACTCAATATGTAAGATAACCAGATCTGCTGTCTGTCCACTCCAAGCCTGGACAGTGCTTAGTCAGCTCCCCATATCTTGGCAAGCTGAAGTGAGAAAATGGAGCTGCACTCCCCCTCTAGTTATTACCATTTTATCAATGATCACTCTTCTTAATGCTATGGAGCACATGGCAAAACAATGAGCAAATTGCGTGTTTTCTTGTGGTGAGACAAAGCAGTTAAGTGACTGTAAAACATAGGGCCCTGTATGTGTCAATACGTTCTGTTTGCATCTGCAGAATGGTAGTACTTTGTTTCAGCTTTAACTTATGACCGCAAAACTGCTGATTACCTTGCTGCAAAGAAATGGAATTGGAGTGCATGACAGAGATGCAGTTCTGTTTCCCACACATCAGGAACATCAGGATTCAGGGAGCTGACCTGGGTCATGTTTTATTATTTTGCTTTTAGAATCATCTCAGCATTTTTCCATTACTAGGAAAGGCAGCACAAATAGCAGTGATCTTAGCTTTGGTTTGTAGACCTTGATGTTTCCTCCCCCGAGCTCTATTTTCCATTGTAATTGTTATTTTACATTGTAATTGCTGTTTTGCATTTTAATTGTTAGTTTACACTATAATCGTTATTTGGCAGTTTAATCTATTTTGTGATCTGGCCTCCCAGTTTTCTTGCACTGTGCTAATGTGAAATATCAAAGAGGGCTTTTATTTGCAGAATCTGATACCTGGTGGAAACACTACTGCTGAATGTGACTTGGACTGAGCCATAGCACCAGAAACCAAATGCAGAAAGGGGCCAGTTTGCTCACAGCCACTCTACAGGCACGTCCAAGGAGTCCCAGCTCAGAAAGCAGGATGTGCGATCTGGCCTGGGGATGCTGTCCAGACCTCATGCTTCCAAAGAGATGTGAATGGAGTCTGCAGGGAACAGTTAGGATTTTGTTGATTTAACCCTCTGAAGCAGTTTAAAAATAACACTTCCTGTCCTTAGAACATATCTCTGCTATTCTGGTGTCCATTGTTTTTTATCATATCTTTCTCTTTTCTGGGGGTTAATGAGCTCTCACAAAATGACTGGAGCCATGCTACTCTAGCATGAATTTCTGGGCTTAAAGAACTGGATCTTGGGGCCTTTCTGCCCAGGAAAACTGCCAGATACAGGATTTTGTCCTGAAAGTTACTGGGAGATCCAAAGATGGTTACAGCATTAGTAATCAGATTGGGTTTATTCAGTGCAAGGTAGTCGAGAGGCTTAGCACTGCTTTTGAGATGGGGATCTGGTTAAACAGTGTCACATAGCCTAGGCCAGCAGAGACTGTAAATATTTTATTCTAGCACCCTGAGTCTGAAAATTTAGGAGGTCATAAGGAAAATGCCTTAAATTTTGAGGTCATCATTAAAGGGCTGAATCAAAATTCTCCATAAAGAGCCTGAAAGCACTGAGTAATCCATCATATGAACTCCATGGGTTGGTTTTGTTAATTGTCAAAAATCAAAACTGTCTTTTTCATTTAAAAAGGACACATGTAACTCCTCATCTCAGTGCAAGAGGCTCAGGTTCAAGTCCTTTTTCTGCTCCCTAAAGGCTTTTTTCTTTTTGGCTCCCTTCTGCTGGAACCAGTTAATTTGTATAAACAATGAAGCATTCACCAGATTAGAGCTCCTGCCAGTATAATCTGGTCATCAGGACGATAGGTGTGAGATGCACTCCCATGCAGATCTCCAAACCAAGCACATTACAGGGAAGTGTCACAGCTCTGGGTGTCCATCTCCTCCATCACCTTCCTGCCACTCACTCTGCCTTTCTGAGCCCAAAATCCCATCCCCAGAGACCTTCTCACAGTGTTACTCAATGCAACACATTTCTGTCAGTCAGCACTGTGCAATGAAATGCTGGTGCAGGGGGTTGTCTCTCATCAGCCCTAGTCAAAAATCAGCAGAAAACGAATGGTAACTTCATCTCATTTTACGTGCAAGCTCAAAGGCATCTTGGACATCAAGTATCTGCTAAAAGTAGCTGTTTCCAACATTTGTTACCAGCTAGATTGAGCTGCTTATCAGACAATGCAACAAAATAGGCTTATTTTGTTTTCATGCCTCATCCAATGTATTTCTATGGTTTATTTTGATTTTAGAAAAGAAACAATAGACGAAAGTTCACCAAATGAAGTGTATGCCAATGTTTTCACGGAAATACTTGCCACTGGAGGTCAGCTCCACATTTCCAACAGTAATTTAATAACCTAACTATCATACTGAAAATCCCTCTGCACTCCCTGCAAAATAGAGGGACACTCATAGGTCATTTTAAAAATATCAATATACGCTTTGAAGATGACTCCAGAATCCCTTCTGTGCTACAGATTCTTGTTGGACAATTTGTCCCTGAATCTATTTACTTATATATATATATTGCAACATGAGAAAGCATTGGTTGATCTAGCTAAAAGTGTCAGCTATAGTCACACAACTGCACTGATGTTTGGCAGAGCACAGCAATACTGATTGAGCAAGCAAAGGGATAAATTGGAAGCTACCTAGGAAAGATTTCTTTACTCAAAATTGTTTAGTGTAACTATACAGTTTAGAAACCCTCAAAAATCAAAACAGATGCTATCCATTACTTAACTCAGTCCCACTGCTCAGCCTGCCTCAAACAATGATTTGTGCATTTCTTGAACGTCTTTTGCATCTTTCAATATACACATTTTTATTTCAAATGAAGAAAAGACACTTCAGCCAGGTACTCTCCAGAAACAGACATAAACTTTAGACAAAACTCGTGTTTAAGTTGGCATAGGCTGGATTCACCAACATGCAGATTACACTGGCCAGCAGGCAGTCAGAAACTGAGTGTGTATGCAGACTCCTCCCTGGAAGCACTCAAGGCCAAGGGTTTTTCTGGCCAGTCCTCTAGTTCCTGTTGAAGCAAGTTTGATGCTGCGGCTGGACACAGCTTGATGCCTCCTGCTGCCGATGCTACCACCTGCACTGCTGCCATGGAGCAGCGCTGCTGGCTTGCACTCAGGGCAACTTCACCTTGTAATCTGCTTGAGCAAAACCACTCTCAGCCCAGTGAGGGATGAAGATTGAAGGTTTGAGGCCAGGCTGGAAGTGCTGCAACAATTGAGTGCCATGCAGAAGCAAATACAACACACACAGAGCGAATCAGGACTCTGGGCGATCGGAGGTGCATCCTTCCTTCCAGGCATCAGCTGCATGCCTGAAGGCACAGACAAACTGAAACAATAGAAAGAACAAATTCAAGCAAGATGAATCATATCTTTTTAAACAGGACTCAGGGTTTGCTTCATGATGAGGTTTGCAGCAAACAGCCCTGTGCTGGGGAACTTTCCCTTTCCTGCTGGCTGGGCAGACTGTCCCCAGCTTGCTGAGCCTCATGGAGCACCAAAACCTCCACTTCCATCCTCAGTGCAGCAGTAGAAACAGCAGGGCTGCAGGCCAGCTCTTACTGAGTGACCTGCAAAGAGCACAAATGAGTAAAACCCTGACCTAACCTGTTTTGTTGTTCAATCACTGCATCCAGGCACGATTCAGCTGCTGTCCATCCTCCCTCAGACCTGCAGCATGCTTAAGAGTCATGGTTAATTTTCTTACCTTATCTTAGAGCAACACACATGCTTACGTACATCTAATATATATTTCTCCCTAATCACAAGAGACTATCATTTTATTCTTGCTTTAAGAAAACAGTATTCCCTCTAAAAATGCTCCTTTCATAGCTCCTGCTATATGCAGCTGATTTGGGATGAGATTGCCTGCAGACTCTGGCTGGAATAACAGTAATAAAACAAGAATCCAGGAATCCTTCAGCTGCCTCAGGAAACATGTCCAGAGGAAAACCCACCACCTTTGATGCTTCCGATAGGCATGCAGTTGTCTGTTCCTCCCACACTAGCAATGCCAGCAAAGTTCTCTTTGCTGCTGAAGTTACACTTCTCAGAGAGGCGAGGACAGAGCAAGTTTCTCTGCGGGAAGAATGGAAAGTGTTTGTGTCCCTGGATAGTCTCTGGAAGTGTGTGGGTGTTTTTGCATGCTTTGAGGGCCCAGCTCCACAAAATACTTTGGCACATGTGTAACCAGAAGTGACGTCCAACAGGGTCCTGCAGAGACAGACACATCCAGCCTTCCAACTCCAGCTGGATCCAAACAGCTTTCCATGAAGTTTCAATTATTCCTTTTTTGTTCAAGCCATTAAAATAGCCTTCATTCTGACAAGTGCCTGCCAGTGTAGCAGCTGAATTAAACACACTTTGAAGTATAGCAGCTCCTACCCCTCACAAGTAGAAAAATCTATAATATAAGGTAAGAGATCTTGCCCAGCTGAATAATTCCTAGTTTTAATGTGAAAACCAGGATTAATTCAATGCCTGAGAGAAAGTTTGAGCAAAAGCACCATCAGGTATAGGGACCACTTAACAGCGGAGCTATTTTACACAATTCCACTTTACACTCCTTGACCCACACAGCTTATTGGATAATTAAATAGACAGATGACACACAATCAGATTAAAGCGCCTTGAATGTGAATGAATATCAGTTTCCCAATTCCAATAGGAATTCAACCATGGAAACTTACACCTACTGTCCAGTTTACCATATCTGGAGAGAGCTGAAAAGCAGTGATATCCATGTGACCATCCTCCTGGTGCTATTTGCAGGACAGAAGGAAACCTGAGCTATAGCCTCGCAGGTAAGCTCGGTCACAGGACACAGGTCCTGAAGATTTGGGAGTTAAAAACCATCCCTTCTCATCTCCATGTAAAGCAGCTTTTTCTGACTGGGGTTCACACGTCATTAAAACAGACACGTAATTAAACCAGAGACCTCATTAAAATTAGAAACACATTTAAAACAGAATGTGGAATAACTTACTAGAACTATACAGGGAAGAAATCAATTATAGTCATAGTAAAAGGAATGTTTTTTCACCTAATATATCCAACAGGCATTGCAAACAGTGCTTTGTGTTGTATAAAGACATTGTGTTTCTCAGCGTATAAACCATTTAACTGCAATGATGACTCACATTTCAGCTACATAGATAGACATGTATATTTCTTGAGTGCCAAAGAGTCAAGACACCAACTAGCTTTGGTGTATTTAGAAGAATGTGCTCAAATCACATGTCAAAGTAAACAGGAAAGCTAAACTATTGGTTAGGGGTGGGTTTGTTTGCTGGTGGGTTTTTTTTAAGCATCCCAATGTTTGCTTGGAGTTCTAATGCATATTAAAATGAATGGATATGAAAAGTGTTAATGATTCTTCCACAGAATGAACTTAACCCCGTCTGAAAAGATGCTGGAAATCTTGAAGTGTCAAAGTGTGACTTTGCTCACGTATATTTCCCTTCTCCCATTCTTAAATCCAGTGCCTAAATAAGTGATGGATTTAATTAAGCAAGTTTTAAAGTGAAACCACAAAAGATCCTCCATTTTGTACTGAAAGCCATTATACAGAGGAGCTGTGCAGAGGCATCTTGTGATCTGCAGTAACTCAAACTCTGTGTCAAGTGGGCTCTATGCAGATGAACAGTCAATACAAAATATGGAGGAATTCCATTTCTCAGCCAAGACAATAGTCACTATCTGCAAAACTGCTGAACCAGGTAAACTGAAACTTTCCTTGGTAAATTTGCATTTTCTACACTGTAAGGGAGCATTCACTTTCTTCACTCAACTATATCACATCTGATAAACATTTCCATCATACCTTCTGGGACTTGCACGGTTAAAGCCCAAATCCATGGACTGTACAGCCAGTGTGAGTGAGACGGTGGGAAAAGGGCAGTGGGAGGAGGATCACCCCCTTACAACAACCCAAGTTTGTGCCAGATTAGTGACTGCATTACCATGGCCTGATGTTAACAGAAAATAAATTTCCTGTCTTGGCAGGGATGGGGGATTTGACGTGTAAATGAGGGGAGAATAAAAGGGTAAAGCCCATAAGTACACACAACAGCAAGTCCTCTAGTAATGAGCCCAAGTTAGAAATGCTCCTGGAAACCCATGCTTCCAATGAATGGCTTTAAAATGACCGATTGGCTCATTTGTCATAAGCACACCCCGGGATCACCCTCTGAAACAGGAATATCTTGCCTTCCAGCCATTCCAGGGAATAAACGCACTGGGTTTCAGATGGGTGTTAGCCGGTGGTGGATCTGCGCCCATCTATCAGCTGCATTTGTTTACAGGCGATCTGCTCCTATTAAACACAGTACGGTGATGCTGCTGTTACAAAGGCTTTTCTGCCTCTCCATTGCCCACCCCTGGAAGAGCAGTCTGCATGAGAAGATCCCTTAGCCCAACCAGTGCCTATTAACCTACTGCCCCAAATACAGAGGCACTGTAATCCTTGCAAGGAATCTTAACATGTTTTGGGTAAGTCTGTTATGATCAGCACCACACAAAACAACTGGCAGGAGGCCTGTGAAGACAAAGTCCAGGCTATCACCTGAGAGATGGGCTCACAGAAAGGGGGGACCAAGGAAGAGAAGGGAGGTCAAGACCTTTCCACCAGCATTTCACACAAGGAGGCAGGAGTGCAAGACAGCCTGTTTGAATCCCAGCTGCATTAGGATATATGGGATATTCAGGTACTGCTACAGACAGCACCAACTTTCACCAGTTTAAACTGTGAGGATCTTCATTGCTGGGATTTTGCCTGAAGTCTGCTCTTTGGCTTCTGGCTGCCAGATTACACTTAATACTTGTGTTTCTTTCTCACTTTTTTAGATGCAGCATGTGTCTCGCTTGTTATACTGGGGGGAAGGGAAGGAGGGAGATGTCTAATTAAGTGTAAATAAGGCTCTCGATGCAATACAGACTCATATAATGCTTCCCAGGTACCACTGTCTCAAATTGGCAGGAGTTTCCCAGTTGCAAGGCTTGGAGTTAAGAATAGCAGTAAACTTGTGTGGTCCTGCAGAAGCGCTCCTTACGTGCAGTGATCCGATCCTGTCTTTGGGAACAGCTGTGCAAATCCACGCCTATGGCCGGGCTGGTATTTTGAAGGGAAGCTTGTGTTAGATTTTGTTGTTTTCTCCCTCTTAAGGCAGCCTTCACTTTAAAACCATGCTCTCTGAGTTTATCATAGGGTGATAGTGCTGTCAAGCCACTGCAAGCGGATGGTTTGTGTTGTATTCAAGAGACACAGCATAAGACTAAAAAAAAAGTCCTAAGTAATCCCTACAGAAAGCAAAGCATGGAGGAGTACAGTAAACTGTGTCAAAATACAAGACGGCCGTTTCAGAACAGCTGACTTTTTTGCCAGTTTCAGTTGTGCTGGAAGAGAGACTGAATTGTCACCAGAGCTGCAAGATGAGCGATGTGGATCTTGAGATCCAGAACAGGCAATGCTACAATTTTCATCTTTCCCAGGCCTCATATTTCCCTTCTGCCACAACTGTACTGGGTAGTATGGGGTTATTTTTCTAGCAAATGCTCAGTTGATGAATTTCAGCTGCTTATCACCATTTTTGCCTTTTGGCTGGACCCCAAAAGCATTCTAGCTTTTGGCAAAAGGAAATTAGAAGATGGTGCTATTTTATTGATTTATTAAAATAAGTACAAACCAGCAATTCCTCTCTGACATGATTGCTCATCCCAGACTAAGTTCTTGCTACTGCTGCAGGTGGCTCAATAAATTGATAATATCCTGCTCAATCTGACAAGGGGCTTTATCAATCAAAATTTATCAATCAATCAAGCCCTGCTGTTCAGCTCAATAGGAAAGTTCAGTCACTCTTCTCTAGAGGAATCAGCCTACATGTAATATTTTCATCCCAAGGTAATGTTAGACTGAAAATTTGGATCTGTTCTCACTGCTTCAGGGCTATTTGTACCTTCTTACCTTGAGGGTTTACTAATTAGCAGCCTTCTTCCACACCCTTTGATATTATTAAAGTATTCTCAGTGTAAGCCACTGCTTTCTGATGGTATCTCTGAGGGTGTGGAGAACAGTTGGAATCATTTGAAATATGATAATTTGAGTGGTGATTGAAAGATGGCAATAGTTTTGTCTACGCAAGCAAAGCACCATGGGTTCTTCAGGATGGCTGTGGCCAGCAGGATATGAAAGGCATTGACACTCAGCTAAGTCCAGAATCAGTAGATAGCAGGGGGTAGTCTGGACTTTTTGTAGACACTGCAAACACGGAATCAGCATTAAATCACATCATGGTTTGGGCTGGAAGAGACCTTAAAGCTCATCCAGTTCCAACCCCCTGCCATGGGCAGGACACCTTCCACTAGAGCAGGTTGCTCCAAGCCCTGACCTTGAACACTGCCAGGGATGGAGCAGCCACAGCTTCTCTGGGCAGCATCCCATTATCAGGCAAGCACCTTTCAATGGTTTTTTGTCCCCCTCCCTTTTTCACCCGTATTTGCCTTGTCTTGTTCCACATGTGGGGTCTTGCGTAGTCAACAGACCCTGAGCATTTAGTGGCAAGGTAACAACAAAACCAGGACCCAAATATGAGGACTTCATAAGGATTCCAAGAAAGCAGCTGAGATCTTGGTATTGTCTGCCTAAAATTATTCAGTGTTTCCCACACTTTGCAAACCCTCTGGTTCCCAGTTTCTCACACAGGAGAGCTGGGACTTGTTTCGAAGATGAATTTAATACTGCTGAAATCTTTTCTCAAGTAGTTTCTTCACAGCCGGTGAGGTTTATTTAAACCGTAATCGCTTGCATTGTAATCCATGTTACTCATTTCACTGCTCCATAGCATGAGTTAATTTAAAAGCCTGTCATTAACTTAGCAACTCATTCTACAAGGTTCAGAACTGGAGATGGGAAAAAGCTTTCTCCATATTAAAAATACACTTCAGACCAGGGTGACTCTGATGTTATCTGACAGCAGCTCCTACACAAAAGACGAGGCCTCATAGGAAAACCTGTGGTTTCCAACACCCACTTTGATACCTGCCATTAATTGCCTGCTCTCTCTTGCATGGTCTCATTGAGGCTTCTTGCCCTTTTGCTCCTTTTTGCTCTTTTTTGAGTACTTTTGTTACCAGTCTCTTGCTCCCCTTCAGGACTGTTTTAGAGAGATAATAAAATCCTTGTGCAGATAGAAAGAACCAGATACAAACGGCTATGTGAGTGTATTTATGTTTATAGCATGAAGCCAGGGAACAGGCTGTCCTGGGTTCTGGTTTCTAACTGCAGCATAAATCCATCAGCAAGTAAGTTACAGCCCCAGAGAAGAAAGCAGAAATGTACCAGCAGACACTGCAGGACATCTACCAGAGCAGCATCTCAGAGGACTTCCTATCTCTTGCTCTCCACAGGAGTGAAAGACGGAGGCTTTCACCCCAAATTAAATAAGCTGTCATTTCATTTTGTTGGTGGAAACTGCAGAAAGGAAGCTGGGAGACAGTATCAGATAAGGAGCATTAAATACCTGCTTACATGCTAGAGGTCCTTCTCAGCCAAAGAAGCATCAGGATGTTTTGGAGCAGTGTCCTGGGCCGTGTCCTGGGCCATGTACTGTGCTTGCTGCCCCTCAACTGGCTGCACAGCCAGCATTACCATGACTCTGTCCTCTGGTCTCCCCTCCTTAAAGCAGCTATTAACTGAATAATATCATCCTTTCTCAGCCATTCAGGGGGAAGCATCTAATTAGTTAACATAGAGCAAGCATTCCTTTGCCAAGCTTGATGCCCATTGCATTTACTGAACTACAGCCCTATCTCAGAATGCTGTTTCCTTCACTAGATAGCAGTTTCCAAAGGGAAAGGTGGCACAGACAGCTTTTCAGGATAAAGGAGAACACATAATATTGTTCTTTTTTCCTTTGAATGTTTTTGTATGCAGGGCCATGCTAAGTACAAACCAGATGACAAGCTAAGATGATCCTTTTGGCTGATGCAGGAATCCATCTCTGTTCTGGTGGAAAGAGATGACAGCAACACGTGCAAGAAAGCCTGGCTGAACTAAAGCCTTAATGCGAGATGTTCACATCTCAATAGACTTAGAGATAAATGGCCTTTTCCTTGTCTTCCATATGGTTTTGCTTTCCATACAGTAAGTGAATCATAACATTGGCTGAAGGACAAGCGCTATCTGACTACAATCACTGCACTGAGCTGGAAGAGGAGAGGAAAACTTGGAAGGTGCAGAGACACCCTCTCTGGAGAAGCCATTCTCCAGATTAAAATGATGCAAGAGGTAATGAACATCTTGGGAGGCTGAAGGGAGCCTGCCCAGCAGTTAGGGTGAAAGACAGTTAATCTGGATGGGAAGTGACCATCTCCCCAGTGTTTTCTCTCTTAACTGGGTTTGCACCAAACACCCTCACTAGTCAGTGGGCTTCAAGGCCAAGCACATGCTTAAATACATAGCTGGTCCAGGGTCTTGGAGGAATGATTTAAGTGAAAGTTATCTAGTCACCACCAACATCAGTGGGAGTTTTGCCGAGGATGTCACTGAGATCACGGTCCCATTGATGCTCTCAGAAAGAGGTAGAAGCAAATCATGAATGGGGTCTACTCCCGTATTGTGTTTACACTGCTAAGACTGCATTCACAGAGTGAAATAGGAGCTGCAAACATTATCTTTCACCCTAGCAATATTTTATACCCTAACATATTAGTTGTCAAGGTTAAAGAGATATGAAGTATATATTAAAAGCCGAACAAAATGCACTTGATGGATGGCAAGATTCATGCTTTGGAAAGTCTTCAGTTTTATAAACCAGTTTAGCTCAGGTCTATTAAGAGCTTTTCCCTGTGAAACAGTGAGAGTATTTTCTCTGCTATAATCATATCAGCCTGTATTCTGGGTTAATGGAGATGAATATTACTGCCAGATTTTGTTCTTTCCTTACATGTAATCTAATGCCAGATGGTTCTGAATTGGTATTAAATCCCCCATGTGCATGACCTCCCTGAGTTTTTTATCATTAGAACCTTAAAATAATTCAAGGAAAGCTTTCCCCAAACCTGATCATAAACCTCCTAATGAGGGACTGAAGTCACCAAGAAATCCTCTTGTTAATTCCCGTTTGGTATTTTTCCTCCTTTATGACAAATAAGGAAGAACTCAGTAACAGAGATGCTTTTAAACTGTTTTAGTGGAAAACACATAAAAAATGAGCATTCAGGTTAACAGTTTGGGTTCCCAGCAGGGTCTGGGGATGTAGAAACTGATCAGCCACCTTCAGGCTCTAATATAGGGCACAGTGATGTCACCATCCTTCAAGGCAAATAGAAGTTACTCTGTCAGTAAGCAACACTTTTATTCACCATCTAACATAACACCCGGTGTCAGAATAACTCTGATCTGGTGTCAGATGAGTGGCTGAAATGGGACCTTATCTACACAGAAAGATTTACATGAACACCATCTTTGCACTAACCGGAGTTCAGCAACAGCTGCTCTATTCCCAGTGATTTCCCTAAGAATTTTCTGCTCCTCATTTGCACAGAGAGCAGGATACATTTTAATGGTTTTAGGTTTTGTTTTCTACTTACTGTTTACTGCTCTGCGCTGTACCTTACTTGAGCACATAAGACAAAACTGTTCATGGCCTCATGGGTTTTATGTACTTCTCATTATCAGGTCATCCAAAAGCAACATAAGTATTCCTGCAGCTAAATTGCATCTTGTGAGAATAGGGAGGGATGAGAAATGTTCAGAATAAAGTAAAAAAGTTTTACTAATTTTGGGGTGTCCAAACTGTCCAGAAAACTTGTTTCTCAGAGGCCTTTACACCGTGCATGCAAAATTCAACTCTAATATCTATTGCAACTGGAAATATACAATGTCTGAAAACACCAGTCTTTGGCCAAACCCAAGGAAAGAATTTAGTTTGGGTAACTGAGGAAACTGAATTCAGTTTGGCAGGATGGCATTCAAATGCATATGACCTGAATCATAGAACCATCCTGCCTTATTCTGAAGTCCCAGACTCACCTCTCACTATGTAGAAAGAGAAATCTGACAGGTAACATCTCTCCTTCGGGATATGGGACTAGCGTAGAGCCATTCAGGGTGGCAGGAGATGTATAGAAATAGATTAAAAATAACTAAATAGAAAGACAAAACCTGCCCCAGTACCCAACAGAACACTGTTGCATCACCAAGGATTGTATTGCTGTCCAGCACTTTATTTCCTCAAACCAGAGATGCTCTCTCACACTTAGGTTCATACCAGCAACCACAGAAACAGTGCATGTACAAGCACCTGTCCCATACACTTGCAAAGACGCTGATGGACTCTGGACCCTTTGCTGGAGCTCAGAGTTGAGCCAGGAACACTAAGCTGCAACAAGGCACCACAGAAAAAGTCCTGATGGAATCACAGAATGGTTTAGGTTGGAAGGGACCTTAAAGCTCACCCAGTTCCAACCCTCTGCCATGGGCAGGGACACCTTCCACTAGAGCAGTTTGCTCCAAGCTCGGTCCAACACTTGAACACTGCCAGGGATGGAGCAGCCACAGCTTCTATGGTCAACCTGTGCCAGTGCCTCAGCACCCTCACAGGGAAGAACTTCCTAATACCTAAATGAGTAAGAAGCAAATCAGTTCAGTAAACCTGTGAATGCAAATCTACCCTTTCTTACCTGCAACACCAAACATCCTGCCTTCACTCCTTATCCAGCCTTCTTTGCTTTAATTCCACCCCTACCACATGTTCAGATACTTGTAGACCTCCACACCCTACCTCCAACCATCGCAATTTACCGCTCACTCTGTCTCCACAGGTTTCTTATCAGCCTTGTTAGCAGATCGTTAGCTCCCAGCATCTCCCTGACTCCCCTACAACAACCCAGGGCCATTTTCCCTTGTTATGCTCCCTGCCCACCCACTCAGCGTTCTCCCTTTGTTCTGTGCCTTCCTTTTGTACCTCCACTGAGGGCAAGGTGATGCCAGTCATCCCCACCCCAAGCTATCATCTGACCTGGAGGAGATATCTGGACAAGTAAATTTTTTATGTTATGGAATACTGGCAAACAGAGCCAAAGCCCTTTCTGAAATCAGAGATATCAGAACTGGGAAATGGAGCACGACCAAAAGCAACAACAGATGAAGGTACTTACCCCCATCACCACTTTGTGTCATTTTGCTTCCTAGCACCCTGGCCATGCCTTAGCAGCAGTAGTGTGGGCTGCTCAGGACCAGTGCCAAAAGGGCAAAGCTGAGTATGGAAGAAACTAATGACACTGTGCAGAGTTTTGCGTACAGCAGCCAACAAAATCCTGCCCTGGGTGCAGTGTTTTACAGCTGCACGCAAGTTATTTGTTATCCCAGGCCAAGAAAAAAAGTGGATGGTTTCTGTCCATTCGTTAGATGTCACATTTGAAAGGAACAAAGGAACAATGCTGCCACCAGCCCTCACCAGAGAGGGACCTGCTAGGGCAGGGAGTGGCAGTAGGCTCTTACTGGGTAAACCAGGCACTGGGCTGGGGGACAGGCTGCGGGATGCTCAGTCTCTGAGGATAAGGAGTATTTCTGGCACGTCAGCCTGGCACCTCCAACGCACTGAGCGCAAGGAGGGGGGCAGCGGGGACAGGCTTTGCTCCACAGCACTTTTGAGACAAAGCCATTTTACTAAAAAAGGAACTCCAAGCACGTTGAGGGCTGCAGGGGCCGTGCCAGCTCAAGCTGCATCCCTGGCTCCAGGGAGGAGGAGGCAGCAGGAGGAAAATGGCAACAGGCACACTGCTCTGCAGTTGTTCAGCAGCCTCCAGGCCAGCCACAAGTGACCCTGGGTATGTCATACAGCCCACAGCAGGGTCGGGAGAAGCAAACATGAGGCTAAACCTGGGGCTTAGTGGTTAATCCCACCAAGCAGCAGCAGACAACTTTAGGAATCGCCTCCTGTGCTGTGTCCCCCTTCCCCTCTGTTGACACTAGATGTTCTCTGGGGTATGAACCATCTCTCACTATGCATTTGCAACCCAGAACCCCCAGCTGCATGGGTACTGCCATCAGTAATAGCACTCCCAAAAGTAAAGCTCTCCCACATGGACAATAGTAGCCAATTACAACATTTCCCTTTATAGCCGTGCTGCTGACGAGGTTTCCAGAGCACCGTAAAGCATGTTTTCTTTTTCTTGCCATCTCAGTACAACTTGACAAGTTTTGTGTGTTTTTGTTTCTTAATACATGAGTTCATTTTATGTCACTGAGCACTGGCAAGGACAGAGAAGCTTTTAGGTTGCATTAATCTGAATTGTAGAAATAACAAGCTCCAAAGATTCACGATTAAACATGGAGCATGCTATATCTGAATAAACAAGTACTCTGTGTTCCTTAAAAGATCATTCGGGTAATAGTGACATAACCTAAGCACCCGGTCGCGATCCAATTTAATCAGCAAATATGCCTCTGGAGCAGAACCATCTAACTTAGGAAAAGAAACAGAAGTACAGTCGCCACCAGTAGGAGAAATTAATGCATTCCACTGAGACAAAGATTAATTATTATGAATCACTCCAAAAATACATTTGCCCCAAGTGGGAGTAGACGCTCTTCTATTCATCAAGTTGCTTTCAAATAATCATTAAACATCTGAAGACAGAAGACAATTTTATTCACCCGAAATAAACACTGCTAAAAGTTACAAAATGAGGACCACCTTTTCTTAATGTCTGGAGCTTTTTGACCAAGAGTAGTTCTGCCTGAAAGTGGGACAGGCAGAACATCTGCTAGAAGAAATATGTATAGATGCAGAGGACTCTGCAAATTTCAATGTAATTTTTCATATTAGGGTTTTCCTGTCGATGTTGATTTTTCCATATCATTTTTTTCCTAAGTTCACCAAATTAGATTTGTAGTTGATACTAATTTTGTCCTGCTGAGGGCCTCTGCTGTAATCTCAATGGCATCTCAAAGGGTCATAAAGCAGATTTAAAGCCAAGAGTCACCTCAGTTGCATGCTTTGAGGAGAAAATGAACATGGTGGTTTCAGGAAGAGCAAGAGTGGCTCTCTCAGGTCTCTCTTTTCACAGGGTTCTCCTATTAAAAATGTTTCAGAAGGATCATGATTTTCTGTTTTGGTGGGACGTGGGGGGGCTGAAACAGACTGACTTATTGACAGCAGGATTGGCTCCTCCTCATCACCACTCATTCACATTTGATTTTCCATTTGCTTCTGGGTAGTCCCTGCTGACAGTGCTCTGGTAGAGCACATCTTTGGGTAAGGTAATGTGCAAGAAGATGGACTTCGTCAAAATAAAATGACCTTTTCATTTACAAGCTAAAAAGAAGTGCATGATCAAAGGTCAGCAGGAAACAGCTATGCTACCAAATAGAGAACATTACCTTTTTATTAAATTCATGTATACAGAAAGTTTCTCCTATGAAATATTCCCCAAACCATCACTCCATACTCCTGGCAAGGATAGAAATGAGACATTCCATTTGCTTTGCTGGGCCAGGATGAGGTGCAAAGCAGGCAAATAGCATCTGTTATTTAATCAGCAGAACCCCAGATATTGTTGAGGTTGACTTCACAGCTACCCTTATCTGAGAGACTAAGACACAGCTCTTTTAGTTACAACCCATTTAGCAAACTTTCTTTTCTCTAGTGTTAAGGACTTGCAATTTTAAGGCTTGGTCCTCATCCAGTCCAAGCCCTGCTGGTAGGCAGTGCTTCCACTAACACTTTTTCCATTACAAAATACTGCCCTACCCAAACATACTTTGTTTGACACCAATAAATCAGGGCAATTCTCATATCCAAGACTAAGCGAGGTTAATTTTTTTTTTATTAAAGCTTAAAAAATTTGGTGACTTTTCAAAGAAAACTTTTGGGTTTTTTTAAGTGGCACAGTCCAGTACTCCCTGTTCCTGCAGCAGCTCAGATATGCTCAGAGAAATGCATCTCTTGTGGCAGTTCTGACCCAAATGGAATCAAGAAACCTTGGAAATCTCATGGGAGATGGATTTTTGTGAGTTTTCCAATTTAAACAGGTGGAGATAAACCAAGATAAGGGCCTGAGACAGATCTCCAGCATGTGGAAGGTTCATCTGTAACAAGAAATGTCTGCCTTTATTTTTATGGCCTTAGCCTTTTCTTGAGATTGGCCTACAGCCACTTGATTAACGGTGGAGGGAGTTATGTAAAGGAATGAATGGGCAAAATGGATGTAATAGGAAGAATCTTTGCTAGCTTTCCAAAGCAGAGATTATTTTAATTGGCCAGCTAGTGCCTTAGGATGGGTTTGGAATGACATCTTCAAAAGCCCAGCAATTCTGATGCTTTTCCCAGGCAGCAGCAACTATTAAAAAACCCCAATGTAATGCTAATTTCTGGTACTTAGATATTTCAAATGTGTTGTTTCAAATCAGCTCTCAAGTTCTTCTACCATATTTACATGGCAAGAAGAGAAAGAGACAATATCTTTATCTTCAGAACAGCCTTCTCAAGTCACACCAGAGTTTATGATTCCCATATACTCTGCACTTCTTTTACTCCATACCTTCATTACCACCTCAACATTAGCAAGTGTTGCTAAGTAGCATTCTACAGTTCCCTATAATTTTGCTACATGACTGCGTTATAAGCACATGTTAATACTTCACAAAGGCAGTAACTATCAGCAATAACCACTATATTACTTTACGGGAAACGACGGTACTTTTTCATTATGGCTGTACGTGTTTCCAAATTGCACCAGTCACCAGGGTAATTCAGCGTTGCTGGAGGCTGAAATGAATAAATTCCCTGGTGGATTTACAGAAATCTCAATATTTCTCTCACATAATAGATGTGTGCAATGAGTTTAGCTGCGACTCATTTCCCTTGCATATTAAACAGCAAAGCACATTGGTTCACTCTGCTACTGGCTGAATACTTGCTGTGGGCATTACATAGATTCATAGAATGGTTTGGGTTAGAAAGAACTGTAAAAGCTCCTCTAGTTCCAATCCCCTGCCACAGGCAAGGACATCTTCCCCTAGACCAAGTTGCTCCAAGCCATGTCCAACCTGGCTTTGGACACTGGCAGGGATGGGGCAGCCACAGCTCCTCTGGGTATCCTGTCAGTGCCTCATTACCCTCATAGTAAAGAATTTCTTCCTAATATCTAATCTAAAGCTCCCCTCTGTCAGTTTAAAGCCATTCCCCTTGTCCTGTCACTACATGCTCTTGTCCAAAGCCCTTCTCCAGGTTTCTTGTAGCCCCTTTAGGTACTGGAGCTGCTATAAGAAGCATAGAAACACTAGTCATACTGAACTGTGAACATCATGCACCAACGCGATGGGCTGCAGAGCTCAGCACAGTGCATGTCCTCCCAGGGTGCTCCCCTGGGTGAGTGCTCTGCTGGGCAGTCCCACACTGGGCTCAGCTGGACCACAGGCTCCTGGGCTCAGCTGGACCACACTCCTGTGCCCAAGCTTCCTCAGCCATGCCTGGGAGCAGGAGCCATTCTGGTCTGGTACTTGGAGCAGAGCTGCCTGTGTCATTGCTGAACATCCTGGTGCAAGTTCAGTGAATCATCTCTCACCAGGACATGCACCCAAATATGGAGGAGCAGGGAGTCATTGACCTGAAAGCCCTTCCATAGAAACAGGAGGGTCTGGACCAGCAGGACTGCTGAAGCACAGTGGGGAGAGCATCCAGGCTGAGTGCCTTTGGCCAAGGTTGAGGCAGTAGAAAACCCACAGTGGGAAGGAAACAACAGAGAATCTGGTATTTTGAAATGCAGCTACAGTTTTCCTTGGGGTCACTAGGAACAGGCTGAGAAATCCCTGTGCTAAGCTGGTGTCTGTCTTGGGGTTGAGCCATGGGGTGCTG